AGGAAGTTGTAAAAAGGTTACAAGTTATGAATTCAAAGTGAACGTTGGGACAAAAGGCGAAATTTATTTGGCAAATTCTTGGTTGTAGCTTCCTCAACATTCAGTTCTGGAGGTGAACGAGTCAAATTGCTTTTGCTATTCTTCCAGCTTTATGTAATTGAAACATAATAAGAAAAATTTTAATTTGGAACCTTTATTGTGACTTAGCAATAAGTCACACGAAGATTCCAAGCTCTTGAAGATCTTTCTTTATTAGTGATACTTATTTATCAACTAGTTATGTAATCGCAGACTAGAATACAGCCAAAAATAGAGAAAGGTCACTGTTAGTGTATTCCGCTCATTCACATTCAACAAGTACGCCTATGGGAAACCAAAACCCTTTCCGGTTCACCGACTCAACGCCACTATTTACTTATCTCATGAACTATACATGGGTGCTAACAGCAACTAAGTAACTAGAAGTAAACATCAACAATGGGGTATCATCAACACAGTTGTTAACACGTTCTTTGCGAATTAAACACTATTCTGATCTATGGTTATTTTGACGCGAGCTGTGGCCATAATTTTTTTTGCGTTAAGAGAGGTAGAGAAAAGCGTCGTGTAAACGGCTGGTGACAGTTGAAGAGAGCTCAATCATCGCACATATGAGCCATAAAATATTTTGCCTTTGTCGCTTCAAGCAGATGTATCTCTCGTTTGAGCATTCAAATCTCGAAATAGTTCCAAATGTCAACAGTCCGGATAATTACTTCTGTAGTGTATTGTGTTTCGTAGTTATAAGATCAGAATAGTGAAAATGTTCCTACAGCAATTTCTAAAGATGTTTGCAAACATCTTAGACATGTCAAAGTAGCTCAGCTGACTATCAGGAAAAGTGATAATACCTACAAACACCGATAAGCAGAGAAATCGAAACTTCATTGGATTCCGCAAAAGTCGCCCATTGTAGAGGCCATGGCGTGGGACGAGCTTCGACGTGATGTTCTGACACAGCATTGAGATACGGTAGCTAGTAGGCATGGGTAATCATGAAGCAATTACTGAAAGAGCCTGCGAGCTGGATAAATGTCAAATTAGCTTTATGGGTGACAATGACAATATGCCGTTCCTTCAATTAGTCACATGATGACTGCGTGTATTTCTCTAAGAATTCTCGCGCCCCTCCTTTTAATGGAAAAATGGAAATTCGTCGCATTAGCGTTCCATTTAAAGGGCTCAATAGAAATTTTCAAACACAACTATGTCCGTCGAAAACGAAATTTCAATAGAAGCTCACGGTTCTCTAGGTTTGTGCTCGTGAAAAACTCTCATGCTATTTAACAACGAAAAATCCAGTCCCATCGCTCATCGCCGAAGATGTGATCATCAATGACAAAATTTAATTAATGATCGCTCGCCGTGATATAATCTGTTTTCTGTGTAATATGTCTGATGTTGATTCAAAATAATGCACTGTCATGAATGGTAGATTTCCAATAGTATAACTTGACACAGATAACAGCATTACTGAGCCAAATAGATTGTTAGAAACGGGGCATTTCGTGTTTATGAATTCAGGTGGCATGAAATTATAAAGTTCAAAAAGTGGTAAAAAAATTTCACGCGCATCTTCAGTAGCATGGGTTATCGCTAATTCTTTCTCAACAACAGTTTTCGACACGAAAAAGTGCGGTTAGCGAGTGGCTCGATAGGTGGGTGGGGTAGAGTTTCGCGGCCTAATTCGTTCAACATCTCCAGTGTTCTCTGTGCAACGGGTCGTTGAGTATTGTCATGCAGGCGACCTAATCCTAGTGAACAACTCTGCGTTCACAATCTTTCAGTTTTGACGAATTCCATCGAATTTGTAATACTGAATCCATGTTGCAGACACTGCTTCAGGAATCTGATGTGGGCTTGCCGACTATAAACTGAGAACATGTGTACACCTGAGAAAATATGCTTCTGCTAGAACATATCCTAGGCCTTCTAAGGATGTTGGAAAGCGCTGTCGATCTTTCTCCTCGTGAAAAGCAATGATACAGAAGAACGATTGAAGCAGACTATCCAAGTACTTTTTTCGGAGCCGATCACTTTGCTCTATATCTCTATGACAGAGTCTGAACACATGAAGAATTGATGTATTCTACGCTAGTTATCTCAAGCAGCATAAAACTGTTGCAGTGTAAGTGAGGATAAAGAATAAAGCATTCAGTGTCAATCAGTTACTCAATAAGGATCACTTCATTGGGAACCGCGAACTTAGCGAGTGCGTAAAGGTTCATAATAGGTGACAGTTTTCCTTATTCGCTGATTTTTTCCTCAAGAAATATCGATTGATAGATGCAGTAAAATAACTCCAAAGCTTCTCGGTCATGACGGGGACAATCGAATATTTTGACAAGCTACTACAAGAGAACTGTGCCTATGAAGCTACAAAATACAGTGATGCATATGAAGATGTGTTTTGTGAATTTCACTGTTTTTATGTGAGCCTGAAATAATTAAATACTTGCCATTGCGCTTGCCAGCAAATATCAGAGCGGTTTGTTTTCTTCTCAATTACAAATTTTACGTTGAGGTGAGCTTTGTCGATTGGGAGAATATGTCTTTTAAAATTTTTTGAAGTGTCTTGTCACCAACATTTGTTCAGTAATCTGTAAATTTGGAGAATTTTTTGTAATTTGTGGAAAGCATGTGCGAATGAACAAGTTGGGGAAATCGGTAAACCACTTTACCGCCATATAAGAGGGCGCCTAATTGGGAACTCAAAATCTAACAAAACACTCACTAAGCGCGCATAAGACAGAATGACGTAACAGAGAGGGCTTTAAGATCAGGTACGTTATCATTGCACGGGATTCTAAAAGAGCTCAAAACAAAGGTCCAGGTATTTTAACATTTGGCGTGCTGTTCGACCGCTGTTTGAGGATTTCATCTTCTTCACAAACGTGATAAAATTCTGGTCGAATCGAGTTTTCTTACACTCTTGAATATAGACGAGCTAAGGAATCTCGATGTTATTATAGTAGAGCACTTAGGGACGAATTCAAACCAAGTGTCTTTGTGAACGATTGCGGCACTAATTACTTCGCTATCCCTTCTTCAATCTGCATCAAATTCTAGTAACTCTAAAAATTAGCCGCAGATAAAGTACCTATTAATCACGCGTGGTTTCGAACAACACCCAATGCCAATTTTTCTAAGTTGAACTAACCCATCTCATTTAATGTTTTGTAAAAATGGTCCCAAACATTATCTGGGAGGCCTACAAAATCAAAACCATAGGTGCTTAACCTTTGCGGGCGATTAGAATCATTTTGACCCTCAACATTCAGATGTCACAATACGTTGAACAAGATTCTTTGTTTAGAACTCTAGCAATCATTCAAACGCTTAAATCTAGGCAATTTTGACATTGTGCTCGATTTTTGAACACACTGATTTAGCATGCTGTAGCAGTGAAAACAAAATTATGTTCCATATTCAATTTACCTTGCTTGAGTGAGGTTTGTGAATCATTTTTCATTAAACTATGCTAAGACTTATTCGATAACACAAAGCTCAACAAGTGATAATATCAAAGCTAAATTTAGTTCTTAGGAAGGTCTTTAAAGTGCGCCGTAGGAGTAAAGAAAAGATTACGACACTCGAAGTTTTCATTGCACATCAAACATATGTGAAGGATAACGCAGAAACGTACTGTGCTTAAGTGTGCGCCGCTGAACACTTTGCCAAAGGCATGCATAGATTTCAATGATGTGCCTGAAAAGGTGCTCCTGCCATTTTTGAACTGATTAATCCCATCTCATAGTGAATTTTTCTATGTGAAATGAAGGCTACTTGAAACTGAAAATTACTGTCCGCGCGGTAAAACTTGTTTACCTACACGGAAGAAATTCCTGGAACCAACTATCGATAACTTCAACATTGCACAAATAATTCTCTGTTTCTCGATGGGCAGTCAAGGAGTTGTTAATTAGAGGTTTTACTGAGTACAGTATAACACTAATCATGGCGATTGTTTTCTAAGCTTTACTATTTTCAGTACCTAAAAGAATCATATTGACATACAATCTGCTCAGCCAAATACTTACATGACCAAAGTAAATAAGACTCTATACATGAATGTTTAATCGCACAATAAACACCTTCTTTCAAATATTACTTGTTTTGCTGTTTTACGGTTCTCCAGTTAGTTTGAAGATCACCCGCACAAAGTCCTTGGAGAAAAGTGTGCTTGCTACACTTTAAGATCAAAACGCTTCGAAAGGTTCACCGCTAAACTAAGGCATTGTGGTCTTGAGTGAGGGTGGTAGTAGCTTCTCCCCAAATATTTCACATTATGTGTCTGTTCCCTATGCGTTTCTGGTGGTTTCGTCGTACACAGAAATTAGGTAAGCCGTACCAGATCTTACAAACCTCTCACGGCTATGACATATCATGAAATTTCGGATAGTGCACCGGCGGTCGTTCAGATATGTTGAAAACTAGCTGCCCTATGAGAACATTTGGCGGAATTACAATCACTGCAACCTCGTTCGAAGTTGATTTACCATCGTAGCATTTGAACATGAAACTTTGATGAGTAAAACTCTTAAAGCGTCTGGATACCTGCAGAAAACTTCAAAAATGACCACAAATTTAAGTGCTATATCACATGAGTGATCTTGCGCCAGTATCTCAGATCGTCTTCTTATCTAAGATAAGCCCAAGATCGCCCTTGTAAGGCTCTACGCGACTATTCTTTGTTAATAACTCGCTGACCGTAAAACGTAAAGCAACAAAACGAATAGCATTTAGAAGAAGCTGTTTACTGTCCTATCGAATATATTAGGTTTTATCTGCTTTGGTGATGAAAGTGCTTGAATGAGAAGATTGTTATGTCAATTTGACTCTTTCAGGCTCCAAAGAAGGGGAAATTCAATAACCAATCAGAATTCATTTTATTTGACCGCTTATTGCGGTGGTGTAATGTTACAATAAACCCAATGATGTAGAGTGATGTGCAAGATCCTTGCGGCAGCTGGGATTCAAACCCAGATCTCACCCTATCAGGGGAAGCGTGCTGAACCATTGCGCTACCGACGCATTGGTGCGTCAACTGGGTAGTGCAACGGTTCAGCACGCTCCCCGGATAGGGTGAGATCTGGGTTTGAGTTCCAGTTGAAGCAAATGTTTTTGCACACCACTTCATATTATTGGGAGAGGGAAATCGCCGTCAGTGACAAAATTATAATTTCTTGGCCTTCACAACTGAGAAGAGCACCAACTTCGCATGCTCTTCTTTGTCTGCTGTATATTGAGATCCGTGTTTCACATACTTTAATGCCTGAACATTCGCAATTCTAAAGAATAGATATGGATGGTGTTTTCTATTGCATGTTGATATTTGTGGTCGCAACCGTTGTACTAGAAGAAAATGTTGCGAGTATAAATTACATTTTTTACTTGGCAATGATGCTCATAACAAGTTTGAAGTTGGGGTAGAAATTTGAAAATGGTCATGTACACATCTCGATTGATTGAACAAAATCCTTTCAATGTGTCGTTTTTGACAAATAATCGGCAATTGCCCATGAACTACTTTTGTTCCAAATCTGTTAGTACACAGCTAATCGCATTTTTTCGTCCACTGCAGTATCTGAGGATGCAGATACTCAAAGCTTTTTGCTGTTTTGCGTCGACCATTTGGATTATTTTTGTGAAATATTTCATCAACTCTGAATGTTAGTCTGAAGAGATTCAAAATCAATTCCGACAGCCTTTGCTATCTAAATACGAATCTGAAGTGAAGAAGTTTGGAAATTACGCTCCATATGTTTTTGAGAATCAAAGTTTCATATAGCTAAAATGAAGAACTTTGTTTTCCATCGGATGGAACCAATTCCTATTGAAATTGGAATAATCCTTAATTCAATTGAGTAGCTCCTCCTTAACATGATGCCGTCAACCTAAAGATAAAAGAGGTCATTATTTTTGCAATAAACAGATCGTAACCAACAAATGTGAGACATAATGTATTATCAGAGGTCTCATTGCATAAATGAGTAAGAAAGCAAATGTTGTGCAAATTCTCAAACTTATTTGTGGCTCCGGCAAAATTTCGCCATCTACGTGATCAAGATGAAGACTCACAGTTGTTTTAACGGTATATTAAATACATATATTATCGCATTCTGAAAATGTTCTACTTTTACAGGCATGAATTCTACTTTTTTCTCAAGTTACATGCACTTGTGAGGTGGACTGAATTAAGACGAAGTAGGCAAATGCATGCTCATGCACTGACTCTCTTCACGTGTTTACATCTCACATTTAACTTTCTCATCCCCAATATAAATTTGGTTGACCACAAGACAGTTAAACAGCTGATTCTGAACATTTGTTCCACTTTGCTTTTGCGAGCGCATTTTTTGTGATGAACATAATGTTTCAAAATCACAGTTATTGCCTAATGTGTTGAAATTTAATATTGCACGGAAATTATGATTTTTGAGCGTTCAAGTAGCTCAGCAAACGATACGTGCATCCAAAGGTACAACAGATAGCCAGCCGTCAAAAATCTCGGTATTTCAGAATATTTCAGTAATGTTGACAATTAACAAACTCAAATGAGAAGGTAAATTTCAGACACACCTAGCCTTCCATCCTTCCGGGGTCGAAAAATCGACATCAGAATAGTTTAAGAGAAGAACTGAGCTGATATAACGATAGGATGCCATGAATCATATAAAGTCCAGATATGATTTCAAAAACAACCTATTATGCTCAATGAAGTTAAGTGTATAAAACACATTTCAAGGGTTGACCAGCGCCATAAAATCTATGCTCTTGTCGGTGAGCAACTAAACGCCCGTTGAAAGTGAGCAAAGTTACTCTAAGTCATTTTCAAAGTTGGTGCGATTCTCTTCACTTCATTCAAGTGTAGAGCGGCATGTATAGCACATGAGGTTGATGGTGGATGAATGGATTATCACAATTTGCCTGATTTGTTCGTTTGGTAAGCCAAGGAAAATTCATGAGTACAAAAGATCATAATGTGATCATCACTGCAAATTTGAACTCTCAAATGGGTGATGTGTTTACTTTTTGTTTCTAATGGGTCACACAACCTCTGATAGCTTAAGGGGTTAATTTTTTTGTATGTGCAATTTGTGACTATCTTTTACGAGACGTCCCATAAATTCGACTTCTTGAACTGATGTCCAATGACTTCTGCGTCTATGTGTTTCTGTTCATCCATACATTAATATGTTTGCCTTCGCGTTGAGTCCTGACACGGGTAACGCAGAGTAGGCGACGTCGCCCAATCATAAGTGTACGAGTGCAATCTAAAATTAACAAAGCTTAGAAAAAAAATTGATGATGATTGTCAGCAAAAATTCATTACATTAACTCTCATAGAGACCTCAAAATGATTTCTACTTTTGCTTGTCCCGGAGGAAAGTGCCTTGTATCTCAACTGAAACTTAGCCAATACTTATAGAAAGCGACCTTTTCATAAATTTAGGTCGTTTATGATTTATGCAACTAGTGTCCATATCATACAAGTTGTGACGGATATGTTAAATATACCAGGTGCATTGTCCATTTACCTGAGAAGCGGTTACTTGAAATTTTCGACAACTGCTGAGGAAAGTTGTTGCCGGTATAACTGGGCTATATTTGGATATTTTTATTTCCCAACAGGAAAGGTGCCATATTGCCAGACAGATTTCACAGCACTAAGCTAAAAATATAAAGCTCTTAACTTCTCTCACATTATAAGATTTTACTAACCCCCTTTTTTAGAATGGTTGTTCTCAGATTCCAAGAAAGGCTAACCGGGTCAATTTTTATGGTTTCCATAGCATAAGACCAAACCTCCTCAAGTTAGTTGTCGAACTAGTATTGAAAAATGGAAGATCTTGGTAAAATATGGCAAGAAAGAAACGAATCGATTGCTAGAAGTGTCGCATCAGTTGACTTTGTTTTGTTGGGTCGCGTAAGAATGAAAAAGAATATTTAAATATGCCCGAATTCATCTATAACGTGTAACATGTTCAAGCGCACTGAAGGACTATGGATTAGAAAATTCTTAGATTTCATTCCTTCCAATCAATTGAATATACACACACCACTCTGATTTCAGCAAGTGTATCAAGTTTGTATACACATAAATACAGATGGAGCTGCGAATTTTTGTGAACAAACCTTGAGAATAACAGGCAGTGAAGTGCCAAATTGAAAGAAATTTGGTTAAGTGAGTTGTGGACAATATAAAAGAAGGAGACAATAATTTCGAGGTGCAATTACAAAAGTACTGAGAGACTAGCTCAACTGGTATGTTTCGTTGGCTCTCAAACCCACGACTATCTTTTTCCAAGGTCCACATGTCACTCACTACATCACCTGTACCATTATTTTAGTATTTTCGGTCATACTTCAATCCTACGGTGATATTAACAATCATTTGCCAAGCATGAATAATTACGGAGACAAATAGGTTGAACTCATTTGTTGACTGCCCATTGCTCTCCTCGCAGCACTGTATGATGTGAGATAAAACAGCAAGAATGCCGAAAGTCAAACAGGACACGGCTAAGATTAAAATATGACTGGAAGAAGACAAATCTCCTTGGTTAATGTAGTGAATAGCACGTGAAGTATACGGCAAAAGTGCATTCGCGTGATCGAAGTCAACTTGTGGTTCCAAGATTTGCGCAAATAACAGCATTCTTATGGTTGTGCTGTGCATCATAGCCCAAGACGAGAGAGATGAAGTACCAAACAAGGTTTGAAACATTGAAATTTCTAGTCGGTATTGAAGCTGATTGACTTGGAGAATGAAGAGGATAGTGGGATAATTTCACAAATTAAGCTGTGAGATTTGTAGGGTCAAAGTAAAGACACTATTCTATACTAAAGTCAATATTTACCCACTGAAAAGTGTCGCTGTACCTTATCGTCCTTATGCCAATTGGTATCAAATCCGAACTGACCCGATAGGCGACAAAATTGATACAAGTCGGTATATGCTTGCAAAACTCTAGAAATTCAGAATCACTCGAAGGTTTCAAGTCCAGCTAAGCAATAAATAGGACTGAATTCAAAAACTTACTAAAATCCAAATAACTTACCTGAACGCTGCTTCTTCTGACAGCTGGTTGCCTAAGCTTTGAGAAATTTCAAGAGGTGCAATACTATACAAGAGGATTGTCATTTTGACACGTTAACAATGTAAAACTCTCAAATAACCTTATAAATAATAGACAACTATGTAATATGCAGATCCCTGAATCTCAGATGAGAGTTCAATCCGCGTTCCACTTTTACCAAGGCTCGCTCTGTTGACAGCCTTTCTGCCATATAAAACAGCGAAGCTGTCAGCAACCAGTCATCAGCGGGTTTGATCTGGTAAACATCGGCACTGATCCAGCTAGCGCGACAGATATATATATATATATGTATATATATATATCATACATATATATATATACATATATATATGCGATACAATTTTGCCAAAACTATTCACTGCCACCCTACAAAACGTCATGAGAACATTAGAATGGGACGATATGGGGGTGAAAATTGACGGTCGACAATTAAACCATCTTCGCTTTGCTGACGATATCTTTCTCATAACACTAAACATCAGTCAAGCGGAACGAATGTTGACCGATTTCGATAACGCCTGTGGAAAGATTGGTCTTCAACCAAATCTAACGAAAACAATGTTCATGAGGAACGGATGGGTTTCGAATGCCCCTTTCACGCTCAACGGAACGACAATCTCCGAATGCTCCAGTTACGTCCATCTATGTCGTGTGTGGTGGAGGTTCAGTGGTTTGTGGTCCCTGGATTTGTCTCAGGCAGTGACCCAATCGATATCTGAATATGGTTAGACTGTCCTTAGCGGCGCACTGACCTTTGTGCTGCACGTGTCGAACTTCCGGGTTGCGGCGACTTTTGCCCTTTGAAGTGGCTGGTTGCACTTCCAAGTTGCTACGGGCTGAACTTTAGTCTGTGTTACCGTGTCTTCTGCCAACTTGTCTCTTGTAACCGACAAGAGCACATAGTTCAATCCTTTTATATGGGTTTAAACG